TGAAGCATCACACTGTAGGATGAGGGGTTTGTTGGGGTCGTAATGTACCAAGACTGGTGAAGAAGCAAGGAGACCTTCTGCCCTGTCAAATGCTTGTTGATCTTCCTCGCCCCATGCCCACTTAGAATCTTTTTTCAGCAAGTTGTGGAGTGGTGCTAGAACAGAAGCAAGATTAGGTAGGAACCGACGATAACGTGAAAGCATCCCAACGAACGAGCGTAACTGGGCTCCGTTACGAGGTGAGGGTGCAGAAATAATGGTTTGTAATTTATCTCTCCGCGCGTGTAAACCATGCTTGTCCAGTCTATAACCGAGGTAGTCAACTGAATCAACTAGGAAAGCACATTTGGAGCGTTTCAAACGCAAACCGTGTTCAGAGAGTTTATGCAACACCCGGTCCAACGTGTACAAATGCTCCTTTTCTGTGCGACCCGTGATAAGGATATCATCGAGATATGCGCAAGTGTTCGGTATGTCACGCACGATATTGTCAATTATCCTTTGGAAGATCGCCGGCGCTGAGTTAATCCCGAAAGGCAGTCTAGTGTATTCGAATAGCCCCAAATGTGTACTGATCGTCGTAAGACGTCGGGAGGTCTCATCTAACCCTACCTGCGAATAGGCGTGACTCAAATCCAATTTAGTGAACTTGACTCCTCCAGACAAGTTGGCATACAATTCCTCAATGTTTGGTAATGGATAACGGTCTATGATGGCACCTCGATTTACTGTAAGCTTATAATCACCACAGATTCGTACGTTACCGTCGGGCTTAAGTACAGGCACTATCGGGGCCGCCCATTCAGCTTGTTGGACTCGTACAATTATACCTTCTCTTTGAAGCCTTTTCAGCTCGTCTTCCACTCTAGGTCGTAAGGAATAGGGCAGTGTTCTAGCCTTAAAGAACTTTGGTGTACTTGAGTCTGACATATGGATTTTTGCTTTAAAATTATTGAGTCGGCCCAATTGCTGCTCGCCAAACACTTCTGGATATCGTTTAAGGACCGATTCAAAGGTATCCTCCCCCACGGAGTGGATAGTATTTAATACTTGTGGTAACCTTTTCATCCAATCGCGACCAAGCAAATTGACTGGAGCCTGAGGCACGATATGAAGTACCAGACTGTGTGATCTACCCTGATGCTGCACTCGTACCTGACACTTCCCAAGTAAATCAATCACTTCTCCTCTATAGGTTCTAAAAACGGTAGCAGTCGGTTCCAGGTCGGGTAACGATGAGAGCGCGTTTTTACTAATCAATGTCACCGCGGAACCAGTATCCAATTCAAATAAAACAGGTTCATTATTAACATGAAGCGTGATCCTATATGGCGATACTTTCGTCATAACTGAGCAGTTTGAAATTTTATGGTTTATAAAATTTAGCTGGGAATCTGGGCACTCACCGTCGTCGGAGTTCAATGATTTGATCGAGACTTGTGACCGTGGGGAACGGCAAACACGTGCCAGGTGGCCAAGTTTTCCGCAATTTCTGCACCTTGTGCGAGTATGAGGACACTGGGTGGGAGAAGTGTGCTGATCCCAGCATCGGTAGCAGACGAACTTCCGTACCCTGTTTTCAGAGGATAACCGTGGTGACAGTTTGTTTACACATTCCACAGGCTGAGGAGGGTTGAAGGTGGATAGTTGGGATTTTAGGTTTTCCCTTTGACGTACAAGGTTACACGCCATTTCCCAGGAAAGGGTTTCTTCCTCCTGTGACAATAATTTTTCCCTCGTACCATCATCTGTAACTCCACCAATTAGGCACTGGATTTTCATGACTTCTTCAAATCGACTTAAGGGAATGGTATTGTACCGGCATTCCGGTGTAGCTTGATGAATGCGGGCAATGAAATCATTTACACTTTCTCCGCATCGTTGCTGTAGCTTGAAAAACTGATAACGAGCGGAAAACACACTTTGTTGGATTCCCCACAATTCCTCAAACAACTGGATCACGTACACAATACTGGTCTTAGCCATCAAGTTCATAGCGTCAAAATGACGTTGTCCTTCTGATCCAAGGGCTTGGCGGAATAGCATAATCCAATGGGTATCGGATAACACGATAGAAAGGTTTAACACAAAAATAGAGTCATTTGATGTTGGAGAGATGTTTTCCACTGTATCCACGACTGTAGAGCAGGTTTTGCTGCACCATCCGGCCACAGACATGACAGTCCCGCAAGAGGGCTCGTAGCAACCGTCGCTACTCTGATACGTATTACTCGAGTATTGCTGGATCGCACCTGGACCCTTAGTCCGCGCAAGAAGTGAATAAGAACACACACCGGATGGGACGTGTCAAAAACTGTAATGGATAGCTTGTAGGTTACACCAGATGAATAAGTCGAAAAGGAACCAATCAGCACAAGGAAAAAGAGTGGACGAATCAGCTATCGGTCAATCGATCTGTATGTGTCTGTGTTTGCTCATCGGCTCAACGGTTTAGCGGACGACACACATGTAACAAGAAGCGTGTCTGAACACACAAACGCTTCCTGGTAATTTACGCCTACCCTTGTGAGGCAGGCAGAAATCGTGAAGTTTATATATTTATGGCCTACCGCTCGGTGCCGTTTCAGGTTGTAGCAAAGAACCCTAACTACCTAAGGCTTCAGAGATGATTGCCTGTTACTTCCTCCTCGTACAGCTGGTGCGTTACACTGTGCTCCGGTTCGGAAATGCGGACACCCGACTGAAATGTCACCTGAAGTAGCCTTGGTTCGCCATTATGAAATAAGTTTGGGTGACGGACGATGCAAAACGTACTAGCCTGTTCGGCCTGGATTCCCATTTGCTTGACATATGGATTCCCTGTGTTTCAGCTTGCCATTATTTTCATTGATACAGTTCGCCCTTGATTCAGGCACGTTAGAGCGTATTAACTTCTTGGCGTTCTACGTCTCCCTAGTGTGCGTAATTTTGGATAAAATAGTGCTTCTTTTTTCTGGCGGTGTGAACGGCGGCTATCTCGGAGGCGCACTGGTATTCGTGTCATTTCTGTCGCTTTTTAGGTTTGTTGCAGACGTGACTACTAGCTTCGCTTTGGGTGTGCAGAGACGACGGATGCTTATGTTGTTTGATTTTAGTTAGTTTTAGACAAACCTAAATGCAGTGGAGTATCATAGACACGCCACCGATAAAAGCCATTCTCTGCAAAATTGCGGTCACCGGGGATGGCAGGCCTTGTTTACTCACCTGTTTGCTAGTTGTCGTGATTGGGGTTGCTGGCTCCGTGCTGCTAACTATACACTTGTTTTAGCTACTCTGTTCCGAGTTTGGGCATAAGTTTAGGTAACGGGAATCAAGTTCTGCTGCAGCTCGTTCCGGTGCGACCGCTGTACTAACCGTAGCACACTGCACAATCGCTGTCAGTTTGTCGCCTTTCTGTAACGGCAAGGCGATGATCCCTACGAGTGGGCTGAACATACACTCTGTAGAGGACCAAATTTAGTCTGGTGTGCAGCGTCGTTCTTACACTTCCGGCATGCTTAACTTTAAACAGCTTGGATAGCAATTGTTACTGGTGTTACAAATATAATTCCAATTCGAATAGTTTTGGAAAACGATTTCGAAACCCAAAGTACTTGTCTGCGGCTGCGTGGGTTATGTACACACTGTTTGGCTTGTCGCAGTGTTGCGAACCATGCCGAGGCATCAGTGTCAAAAAATATGCTAGAGTCTCCTGCTGCAGTCATTTTCTTGGTCGATATATCTTCTGATATTAATACTGTCTTAGTTTAATTCTGGGATCTTTAAAGCGAGTAAACTCCATATCATTTACCTTGCTGTAAACTACAGATGAGCTTTGAATGGTCAAACCTACCAATTAGCGCCTGATTGCACTTTCGTAGTTAACAAATATGAGATCCAGGGTTGCTTCAAGTCTGGTGGGGAAGTTTACAGCATTTTGTAGCCTGGAATCTGTCAAAAGCATTATATCAAATCTGCTCGAATTACCAGTAAAAATACAGAGAGAATAATCATTGTGGTGGATGACATTTTGAAACAAACGGATAGTAAGTTTCCTCCGCTTCAGCTGTGGGACAGCTTGTGAAACCTAGATACTTGCCGCTTAGGCATCTTATTTTACACTCCAAAATTAGGTAGCTACTATCTGACGCGTAACAGTGAAACGTGCATTTTGTCGACGTACACCGCTAGAGATTGCTATAAGTGATAACACTTCCTCCACGGTTCCGGTATGTACATGACAGGTCGGCACGATGGCAACTGAATCCCTCAATCATCCACATCCTCATATAGCCAAGTCTCTTGAAGCATAATTACGCCTAGCTCCGAGTATTCGTGTCATTAGCTTGTGCTCTTGATCACCTCCATCTTGCTCATAATTAATCGGATATTGGAGTTATAATGGGTATATTCATGCACCGCAATATTTTCTACCGTAAGGCGATCCTTAATCTAGCACAATGCTTTTTAATGGAATTGTGGTGCATCTAGTTGATTCGCTTCAGTTTGTTTCTAGTGGCTTGACCATGAAAAATTGAAGTGGTCACACGTAGTGATTTTAAACTATGGCGAGTTTAGGTTATAATAACCCTGATTGTTTTGTGGTGTGATGTGGAGAACCTGAAGCAAAATTTGCCGATGACGTGAGTGCAAGCAGTGTTTCGTGGATGGAACAGAAAAGCGCTGCCAAGTATGAAGGCCCGCACCGTTGTACGGAGCAGCATGCTAAAAACTATGTAAGAAGATCAGCTCCATAACACTGCTGCCTCATGATAAAACCTTATGTGTTGCGCATCGTATTTTCCTAAAATTGCTATAGATAGTGAGCATTTTAAGTCACTTTACTATTGAGATTTTAGGCAATTGTTAGGCTGTTGTCTATGCCAATCTTGTTATGAAATATTGGTCGGATATTTCGGATTGAAAGCCGAGGTATTTATTGATATTTTTCTCTCTAATCAGTTAAGTTCTCTTCATCTATTTATGGCACGCTGTCCAATTTGGCATTTGTTTTACTGTAGGATACAAGAGGACAAGCTTGCAACCTGGGCGTAACCTATGCCGGAATTCTTGTGTTTCAAAACTTTATCCGTGTGAACGGAATCGGTTGGTCAAAAGTTAGAAAGCTCAGCTTCAGACGCAGGAATTTTGTGATCAAATTGCATCCAAATGAGAAGGTACCGCGTGCAATATTTGTCATTACTGTAACTAAATTCAAAAACCTAAATGTTTTTTGCTTTTCATGCGATTTATCAAAAGTGGACATTAAACACCCTACCTAAGTGGTTACCAGTAGCTAATTTGTGAACAATTATCTTCTGATATGAAAAGGGAAGATAATGCAAGTAAATCAAGCTGCTCAGCTCACGCACAAAGTGAATAATTAGCAACGTTACAAGTGCTTACTTTTTATGAGATAGGAGTTTAATCTCTTGGATTAATCTCTCTTGACCATAACGAATCGTTCCACACAACATCTTTGTACACACAGATAAACTTTATCACATCAAGTACAAGTAACTCAACCCAATGTGTAAAACTTCCTTAAGTTTGCATTCCGTTCTGTAAGTGAACTTGTATCCGTTAGGTAAGTGTTAAATGGATTCAACTAACCGTCAGTTGATGTGTAGTTAGAAAGCTACCTTTGGCTGTTCCTGACGTAGAATAGTTTGGTTACTTTTGGTAAACGTTTATCCAGTACACATTTGAAATGTCTTCTTGTGCAGACTACCATTATATCGAATGGCCACTCCGCTTACAATAAGCATATTTCAACCTGTCTATCATTATTCTTATCTTGTGTCCATGTCTTCCATTCCCGGTGTTAGGATGATTCGGAAAATGTTGAATACCAGTTTGCTACTTTAAAAAGCTGTAAAAACTTCTGGAGAAAGTGCATCGAGCAGCACAGCTTCTTCCGATCCAGCGCCTCGCCCTTTTTGTCTACCGATAAACATCGAAGTCTGGGTCATCTCACTAGCCACAGGACCGCTTCATTTCCGTCCACTGAATGGCTCAGAAGATCGGTGAGCTGTGAAGGTAGTGAGGCTACAAGCTGTCCTCTGTCTTCTTCCCAACAAAATGTTTATACACCAGCCTCAAGTGGTCAGCTAAATGAAAGTCTGACATCGCAAACAAGCACACCACTGAAGCGCCTGGCAAGATTCAAACATTTCCGTCCCAGCTGGAAGTAAGGCTAATTGCTCTTGATTACACATTCCAACGTACTCATGCAGGTAGATTTGTTTCCAAATGATGCGGATACTGATTTTTCCCCATAGAAATGCAGTATTTTCGCACTGTCGATGGATATTTTCATGTTGATTACCGTATTTTTCGGACTAAAAGACAGTTAAAATCATTATATTTGCTGAAAAATCGGCAATGTGCCTTATATTCCGAGGGCCTTATATATGAATGATTGTGCTGAGGCCTAGTGACTTCGAATCAATTTCTATGTTCACGTTGTGTTGAAAAAGCTGTCGAAGCATAATCACTGGACATTATTTTTGTGGAGACAGCTCTTTGTTGTCTAGACAGATTTATTTTGTGGCTATCGGACAGTGTGCAGGAGCCAACTGATTCGAGCTTTCCTGGCGACGATAAACCAACCAACTATTCAACCATCAATGCTGATACCCCATAATCTGATGGTTACTCCACCCAGCAAACTCACTTGGTCCAACAATGCACCTTGTAACCACTGTCCAAAACAAGCACCTGTATCTCGTCGGTTGCAGATTGTTGTGTCGGAGCCCCGCGACTGCCTCCACCCACTAAAGGTAGTGAAAACACGAACGACCTGGGACAGAGATTCAAGCGTTCTTTTACATACGGAAGCCATTTCGTTATCTAGTATAACGCACAAACATGAAAGCAAGCCAGAGTGCGGAAAGCACGTCGATAATTAAAGCCAATAAGAACGGAACAAATGAGGAACCAATCAAATGCACACAAAGGACGTAAAGTGAGAGTGATAGCATCAGAGTATGGCAGCGATCTGAAGGCAAAACAACGACTCCAAATAGCCGATAGGGATAGCGGAATAATGCATTAAAACAAACATCGGTGAGTCTCCATAGCAGAAGGTAAGTCTGTAATCATGAACGGCTGCACAAGCATACCAGTATTTTTCTTGCTCCTCCAACCCAGGTGAATGTTTGAACACACAATCTACGTTCACTCCAGTGTTCCAAAGACGTGCGGTTATCCAGGCAGTCGGCGACGACTGTGTGGGCCTCACTTACATCATCGTCCAAAGTGAGGTTTTCGGTTAGACAACTGGAACCTACGTCGTCGTGCGTCTACTACGGAGGGGTACCTGTGCCCTTCCTGAGAAATGCGTGATAACACACAGTCTGGATAACATATGGAGTCAAGCACGATAATGTTTTTCAGTGCCAGTCGCATGCTGACGATCAAGGCGTAGCTTGTTCGTTTACCCGTACCACATTTCCTGGTACGTACTGTGCTTCAACATACCGGCAATTAAAGACTCCAAAATGACACCTGATAAGTGACAAGCATACGAATCGGATTACCTTATATTGCGTTTTATTTCATGCTCATCATATTCTTTGCTTTGTGCAAGGCCCTGGACAAGGATGGTTCTGGTTAAACTTTCCTTCCGGTTGTCTCCTAGGTTGCGGTTACCTCGTTAAACCTCTCCCTATGCGATGTTTGGGAAGATAGAGATAAACCATTGTTCATGTCTGTGTCAAACTTTCAACAGCAGAACTTATCTTACTTCCACGGTGGAGTTTCGCATAACGCGCAAAAGCCTTGCTTCCTCGTAATGCTTAGAGTTAGAGTGCCGCGTTATGCGCGCTACAGGTACATGTTTAACCACGGCGTCCAGTTGGTTACTTTTGACGTCTCACTGCTTGGGGTCTTCCAACTGCCTTTCTCTACTTGACGTGTACTTGATTCTGGGACCTTGGAGTACAGTGCGCTCAGTACAGATGGTTATTTCTTTGCCTTTTTCGACATTTCACGGATAGTGCTTGAAATACTTGAGGATGTACCGCAGGAAACCGCTATTGCCTGCACCAGGGGAACTAGGCTTCGCTCCCCAGTTCCCGATTCAGTTGAGCGTGCCGTTAATTTTAAATCTCGGCTCTTCTTTGGAGCAACTATAACTCAACTTTTACTCGCACCTGTTTTCTTTGCTGTCATGCAAGCATTTAGGATATTTGAGCTTCTTTTTATGTTTGCCTCGATCGATCTGCCAAATATACTGAGTGCATGTGAGGCGCAAATGGTATAGGAACAGCAGTTGATTCTCTCTTGGCTATTGATGTCGTTTTGCTTCCGCTGTTACCAGCCGTTCTCCGCAGAACTGGAGCATCACCTACTGAGAGGTCTGCTTTGTATACGCAAACTGTGAGGTTTTCAGTGGTCACCATTTCCTCGAACTCAGCTAGTATTTGGTAACACTTCTGAGCTAATAGGAGCGTGCCTTTTGTCAGTTGGATACATGTGTATCCCACGTAGAACCAAAGCTACGCTGGTTTATGTAAACCTGGCATGGTTAGGTTTTGCTCTGACATTTCACATGAAAAAGCTTACAATAGTTGGAACACGGAAGGGCCAATTTGACAAGTTTGGGACGTTATCCACGTAGGTCTTTAGCTCCCCTTTACCTGATCTAATGTTACAACAACTAGACTAACTAACCCATGACCATCAGCAATTGTTCCCACGTTGGAGGCAAGGTTACATAATTCAAGTAGCTCTCGTGTGACTGTATGCTGTCCTGTCTATACGTGTTCGTCTGACTTACTAATTGAATGCATCAGTGTGCAGTTAAAGCAGATCACGCCAGGGTTTGATAGAGCGGTTTCGTTGAAGCGCCTAGGATTCGCTCCAAGGTGGACTTATCAAGAGTAAAATGGGTACGCTGCTGGAAACGTAAATGACTCTGTAGCTGCTCCACTTATCTTGACTTTAAAAACAGAACTTGTTCGAACGTCTTTGGAATGCTATAGCGAATGGGACCAAAAATCGTGTTTGACGGCTGGAATAACGTAACCTTATGCTCGTGTGTGTCGACTAAAAATTCCCCGGAAATTACACTTCTAGATACATCTCGGATACTCTGGTAGTTTTCTTGGCAGAGTGTTTAATAGAGATGGTACTCGTTAATTTAAGCCAAACAAATGTAAATTCATTTATGTGCGACGAAGTGCGACAGTATAGATTCAAAAGGACGGACGAGTTCATGAGTTTGCAACCGACACAGAACTTCCCGACAAAGTTGAGTTCCGAGACTATAGTCGCGAAAACCTGCTTTATCAAAAATAATCATATTTTTATCAAGCTCACTCTCCTGTAATCCAGCAAAATGTATCTGCTGACAAATGTTTTTTTGTACTGTATTTGTTAACAGCCTAACTTGTCATCATGGTCGAACTTTGATGTGTGGTCTAGCGTTTTTCGTAAAGTCGCTTAACAAATAGATGCAATCACGAACATGAATAACTGAACATTTCGAACAATGTAACTTACTAACACACAAACAATGGAGTTTTATTCAACGCATTTGTCTTTATATTTTCATTAAGCCGTATCAATTAACCTAACGGAAGTAACAAAAGAGGCAACAAACCTCGTACTCATCCCGTAATGCGCCTGTTGTCATTTGTAAAGGGTGCGGCAGTGAGAAAAATGATTTTTCTTCAAAGGCGAGTGGGGTTGGGTAAGTCAGCACCTCTGTCGCCAAAAAGGAAAAGTCTGGGCCTCGAAAAGAAATGCATTCTTCGTAGAACGCAAACTAATTTTATATCTCGAGTCAATTAGAATCACTCACAGATGCAGAACAATTCTCCTTCCTATTACATTCTTGTCCAGCGTTTGAACGTGGTTCAATGTCGATCCAAATCAATTGCATGCTATCCTTCAGTTCGTCTCTGTAGCGATCGACCAGATTTCAGACTGTTGGCCCACAATCGTTAAGCTTGACCGATCGCTAAGCAACGGGTACCTAAGGGTAATATCTTACCATCACAATCCTAGTTACGCGAATGGCATATTTTGTTGTATCACAATAAGTTCACTTACTTTTCATGTTTGTGTTCAGACGAACCTCACAGACCCAGAACGGATCCGCTAATAACGTGAATGAACTGCAAACATCAAAGTGAGTGCCATTTTTGTGGACCTGCATCCACATTACCATGGGCTATTGAGTAAAGAGTTTTCCACTACGATAGTATACTCACCTCTGGCATTTTATGCAACGGTGTAACGTATCCGAGGCGTGCGATACATGGCCTTATAATGTTGCCCGTTCAGGCAACCGTGCTGGGCAATAACGGTATCACGTGAACGCGATAGGTACTGTTGTCATTCATTTTACCGGTTAACTGGCCTACTGCCCTTCTAACTCCTCAGGTAGGAAGACGCAACATTCCGCACAAATATTTATAGCTGCGTGAACTTTTAGGCATTTGTAAGATATTAACATGTGAATGCCAGTAATTCCAGTGAAACACGCATGCCTAGTTGTTATCATAGTGAACACATGGAAACAAATCTTCACATGTTAAGAGTTATTGCTGATGCTCCATTGTATTTGCATAAACTTGAAATTCGGCATAGATAGAAAAAACATTTGTCGATAACTAGCTAATGCTGCATCCTATTATGTCTGCATAGTCAATACAATAGAAACAATTCAGGCTACTCAAAATCCGTTTCTATAAATCGGGCTGTATTTACGTGACTGTTAACTACCCGGACCAGGTATTCCTGTGTCTATCATCACAACTTTATACACAGATCCTTGGCCCTAGCGATAGGTGCTCCTTTGCTCCGTTCATTAAACTATCTCCGCCTTTAACATAACCTGATCAGGTAGGTTCGTAGCGCCTTGTCATACACAATTAAATTTCGGCACCGTGTCACGCAAGATCCTGTAATCTGATCGCAACTGTTTCTACTTTTAATCTATGACCTCTTGAGCACCATTATTCCCAATCTCCTGAACTTCGCTAAAAGTCCCAAGCTGCGACGAAATGTCACGAGAGTAATCGGTCACTCTGTATTATGGGGCAACCTAGAAGAGATTCACAGCTGATGGGCTCAACTTTGGCTCCATTTTAAAGTTATCAGGTGCATTTTTGTGTACACACTAGCGGTGAGTTTACATCTATCAGCTTGGAGGCAGACTTTGGACGTGTTTCGCATGAGGACAAGAACAGAGTGCCTCTGCGAGGTGAATTCGGTCGCACGAGGTATATTGGGAAGGTGACAAGTAGTATCAAAGTGGCCATTCTATTGACAACAATCCGATTTTTGTACCTTCAAATTTTCAACTCGTAAATGGGGCCTCATATGAAATCCAGAATATCCAGGCTCTTTAGCCTTGCAACAACAGGATAGCACTGCGATTGGATCTCTACAACCATCAGGTATATCAAAGCAGATGGCTTGCTTCATACTTAAAAACATCTTTTAAAAATCCTAGACGGTTAAAGTGGATACACCATGTGTCTGCTTGGTGGTCTTGTACAGGCTTGGTAGACTCGAAATTTCAAGTGCGCACACCATCAGTTTCCAAACTTGGTCACAGGGCCAGTTCAGTTCCACCAATTGATATTTGTCTTGTAGTCGGGATATAACAGCAACATTTCTTTCACTTGACTGAGTTATGCCATAAGTGATATCCAAACTTCCACAATTTCCGCTCCAATTTATCATCCATCGAAAAATGATGCGCTAGTGCGTTGTTCCAATGATATTACTTGGCTTCGGCAAATTTCAAAGGACCATAAATCGATGCGAAGCAGCAGGTGTGCACAATTTAATTTTACAGCGGTTTTACCTATCAGTGTTTCTTTTCGGTACATCTAGCTATTCGTTTTGCTGTTCTCGACGGGTGCGTTATTCACACGGATGCTTTATGCCCTTAAATATTAACTGCGTTATTATGCTATGGTTTTGAAGCAGCTAGTTAATTTGTGTACGCCAGACTGTTTGGTTTTGTATCATACTTAATCTTGTCCCCCATTGTTTGTTGCAGATCCGATTCACCAAAATCCAGCCTGGTAGCCCCCGACTTCCCTTATCCTACACGCAAGAGCTCTTTACCCGCCAGACCAATTAAAGTCACACGTCTATTAAGTAGCAACTCAGAACTAAATGCTGAACACTTTCAGCTGCTACGTTTATCCTTATCTTCTTTGCTAACCGAATCACAATCCAGTTTGCAACAAACCACTCCGACGCTGACTCGAAGACGTACGCGAGGATTAGTACAGTGAGTATCAGATTTGTGAATTAGATCGTTGTGCGATAACGGGGCCGTTCGATATGTTGCCGGCCACTCTCCGTTAACCGTCCGGAGTTTTCTTTTCATATTAGCCCCCGTTCTTTTCGACCCTATTTGGAAAAATGAGCATACAGCATCTTGAGTTCAGGCAGGTTTGGAAACAATCGGTTGGTATAATAGTTTGGTAAAGTTTCGTCCCCGACACGAGGACTTCGTCAGACCAGGTGAGTCTGTGTGCAATTGGTGTGGGATTTTATAGCGAACAGGGGCGATAACCGCGTTACCCGAGACTTGAGTCATGATGTCATTACAGTAACAGTTGGTGATGTCACCTCAGGTGGTATGATCACAGTGGGAATAGTCCTGGGGTTCCTTTGTGCGTCATGACAATGACGGATAAGCCCACAGTGTTGACAATGGGAGTGAGTTTGCACTTTCCAATCTGATCCACATCACCCTATTCTGTTAATCATACCGCGCTGTTCAAACTAATTGCAACAATTGAGACTGTATGTGCAACTAGCACTGCAACTCGATTTCCAACACAGATATTTATGGCAATGTAACATACAACAAGTTCGAGAGTATCTAGCAAAAAAACTAGCTCTTTCTTCGATCCAAATTAGAAGTTTATGCTGTTTTCAGTGTTCCTCGGGTTATAAGTAGTTCTTTATCCCTGCTCATTATGAGCAGTCGTGTACTGTTTGACATGGATCCGAATATTTTTGTCTACATTCTCCCACAATTGCGGTGAGCAGCCGACCACTACTCATAAAGCGAATTCCATGCGCCACTAAAAGACTTCCTTAATTCGACGTGTGGAATAAATGACACAATTAAATTGGTTCTGAACACCCTCTTGAGGAAGCAGCGATGGTGCCTGCGTGTCCTTAATAAGCTATACGTAGAGTACCTTGCAGTACCTGCTCTCCATGGGTCTTGCTTTCCTTACACGTATATTCCACTGACAGCTTAGATGTGTTCATCAAACAGATCATGATAACATGGTCTAGGTTTTACAAACATACAGGACACGGTCGTGAAATATAGCCATTTGATAATGTTACTCTTGATGCATCTGACAAATGCTTGTGATGCTGGCCCGATGCAATAATCTGTGAATCATAAGCCTATTGAAACTGGAGCGATTAACACCCCTTTCAGTGAGCAATTAATTGCTCATACCAGCGGACCAGCAGACAGTCTCATGTTGTTGCACAACGCTTAATGATAACAACTATTGAACGTGTATGCTTGAATCTTAGTCATCCTCATTACACATTGGCTGAATGGGAGAAAGACACTTCAGCTAACTCTGAATCAACAGAAAGTTTAAGCCGTTTGAGAAAGCGAGATGCTAAACATCACGAAATGTGGAAAGTAAAAAAGCGAGCGTTATAATGCTAGTACCAGATCCTTGTTTGAGGAGGAAGTTAAGCGGGATGGAGAGGGACAAATAAACAACACACAAACCACTGAAGTCGGCTCTTGTTCATGTTAACTTGTGCTTCTAACCAAACGGATTCATCATCCTCTGGACACCAAGTAAGGAGTCAAGAGGCTATAACCGAGGCCAAAGAAAAACAGGTGTGAGTTGTCGTTCTTTTGTTCTCTGAATCTGCGAACGGTTCATGAGTGATTTGTAATGTCGTGTAATACGGTCAGTGCGTTGTCGCATTGATCTCTGAAATCCGCTAACGTAGTGGCATAGATACCAAGTCCTAGGAATTAATTCAAAATGTGACAGACATGCAGCGAGAGTTACTATTGTCGACAATCTAGTCGGCTTTATTGTTCTGCTAGTCTGAGACGGTGGATTCCCAGCCTGTTATTATTACTGAGCACAAGTGATCAGGGTTGCTTAAAATCTGGTAAGGTAGGGTAAAGTCGCCACGCAAACACCGAGAGCGTCTACTGCAAATCCACTGAATACTAAGTCGCTGTTCGTATAGTAAGAATATAGCCATTTAGAGTTTCTGGTGGCCAGACCTTGCGGAACCTACCGCACAGTGAGATCCCGCTTCCATTATGTCTCTTGTGCTTACATCGCATATTCCACGGTGTGGCGTATGTGAGCATAAGGCACCTGGGTGAAAATAAATGAATCAAAGTGGTGAAAAGCTTTCTTAAAAGCCCCAAGTTTTTGATGCCATGTTTGATGCTCCTTCAGATTATTCCCCACAACAAACCTCTCGTACAAGAGATCTTTTTCACAAGCACAACCATAGAATTCCTAGTCTCTTAACTAATATGTTTGAAACAATGGCTGCCATAGATGATGCATCCGACATTCAATTCCGTCAAATTGGCGACAACGCAGGACTGACCATGTATACATTTTGGCGATTTCGTTTTGAACTTGTATGCAGTAGTCTGAAGCTAACATTGGCTGTTAAACTTTCATGTCATCGACGTTAAACAGACAGGCTCATTAGGTCGTTAATAAACTCAAGAACAAATGGGGCGCTAATACCGAAACATGTAGTACACGGTATTCTACTTGTGGTAGGCCTTGGTTCATGGTACATACGAATACACTTTCAGCAGTTTTTGCAAAAAAAATCGCGCATTCCATATTCGTATCCCAAAAGCCGGGCTAGAAGAAAGCAATAGTTCAACTGGTCAAATGATTTAGAGAAGTAGAAGCAGGTAACACAAACATTCATTGTTTCAGAAATTTAAAGCAATTACTTCTTTTCAACAATTTGAAAAGCACAGAATCAAGACGAAGGCTGGTAGATGCATGTATTTCTTATTGTCACCTCAGTACCGCTAACCGATATGCATAGATCTAGCTAAAAGTGGGTGCAACCAAACAAGCTTGGGGTGCAGTACGAATAACGGAAGTTCACGCCTACCTCCAAGGCATCTTTAGGCTGACAAATGATTGTTTCTGAACACACAAGGCTGGCTTCATCCAGCTTATAGCGACAGCCTGGGCAAACCGAAGAATGCGGTGATTAATGTGAGGTAACACAACTTGGAGTGCTGTGCCCAGCTCTATCCGGTGACCGCAGTCTAGTAGATGTTTGCCCATCAAGGAAGACGGCGGCCTGCGCGAACCCGGAATCTGACGAGGATAGGCAATATGAGCGATTTCACGCTGAACTCATCTTGGTACATGCCTATTTATTCTGGAAGTCAGAGTCCAATTGGTTCTGCCTATGTAACAGTTTCCGCAGTCACATACAAATTGGTATACACAGCGTGAGTTAGCCGTAATAGGCTGAGCCTCCTTCGTTGGAGGTACGGACAGATTTCAGGTTCGGTTGATGACGATAACATGTTCAGCATAGTAACTTCCTTGTGTAGCCGAAATTTTATGCTTAGTTGTCTTCAGCTTGGCTAAGTCACCTTTGAAAGGTAACTCGATATACACTTTTTTCTTGGCTGCCGTATGAATCAAGTCCTTTGGCTGGCTGTGGTTCTCGATAAATCTTTGATTGTAGCCGTCCGCTCTTTGTGTTGCTATAATTTACATCACCTCATCGTCCATACAGTCGGACGAAAATAATCGTCTGGCATGACTAACCAGAGTCTTCACAAGTGTCCGTTTGTACCGCACTGTCTGAAGCTGGTAAAGTGCAGGTACTTACCGGACCAAATTGATTTTTTTGTAAATAAAGCTTTAACTAATTCATCATCCATGCAACTGGTGGGAATTTCCAGATATGGCAGACGAGGGTACCGTTCTACTTCGCATGAAACCCGTAAGTTAGCACGAGCACCATTGAGCCGTTCTACCAAGTGTGTGAGCTGCTGCTCCGACGAACAGAAAGCCAAGATATCATCGACATATCTTTTGTAGTATGGCACCTGGGCTATTTCTGTAGAAATGCTTCTTTCTACCATCAACATGAAGAAATCAGCGAGCGCAGGACCTAATGGACTACCCATTGCTACGCCGTCAATCTGACGGTATGGTGTATTCCGGAAGTGAAAATCCACATTCTCCGTGCACAGTAGTAGAGATTCTCTTAGCAATTCAGTCGGAATTGGTAGCGAACAGCCACCGTTTTCAGCTAAATCGCACACGTAATCAACCGTCTGATGTAGCGGCACGTTGGTAAATAAGGATTCTACATCCAAGGAACATATAACTTTGTCTGACAGGTTGAGTTCATCCAGGTCATCAATGAGTTGAAATGAGTCTTTAAGACTGTACGGATTGAACTGTTGTTTCAGCGGAGCTAGCAACTTCACTAACCAACGAGCGCGTTTGTGCTGGGGCGAGTTCATCATTGAAAGGATTGGCCTGAGTGGCACTTCACCCTTATGTGCCTTTGGGGACCCATACAACTGTGGAATAGTGCTACCACTCGGCTTCAAACTATTAAATGTATCAAAGTCTATCATGCGGTGGAGGAGAAGTAATTCCAGGTGACGAATTATGCGCATTTCGACATTGGTTATGTCCCCCACTTTCGTGAGCCGTTCGAATTTACTCGCATCGTTGAGTATGGCGCACATCTTCTCATTGTATTCGGTTTTATTCATGATTACCACTCCTGAACCTTTATCTGGTTTCATTACGACTACGTCCTTAGCTCGTAATTCACGTAAGGCCTGAAAATATCGGGCTGTGATGGCACATTTTCCATTAACTGGCATGGTTTTAACCTCATGAGCGATATCGACTAACTTGTTTCTGAACCAAATAAGCTTATCAGGGCTAGTTGGTTGATGCTCCTTAAACTGGTCAAAAAAGTTCTCAAATTAAGCATTCTGTAAATAAGCCGTTTAACTTTCTAGGGGGGATTTTGTAACCAAGCCCGTGATAATCCTTCTAATTGCAACGCATCAAGTTGTAGGTTCGATAAATTTATTACGTGCTTACTGGGATCACGAGCAACCGGTTCCCCCTCTTGGTTATTCGTCAGGGAATTTTGTAAACAAGCGGAACGATTTCGTCTCGTACGATCAAGAGTTGATTTACAAAAGTTAGTGAAAACAATCCGACCACACAGAGACAGATCCTCGGTAACGGGTGGTAAGCCTGCATGAGTTTCTTGTAGTCCCGCAAGTCTAGTTTGAGCCGTCTCTACCTGAGTGGACGCCACGCGTCTAAGGTTAGCCGCAGAGGGCTTGCGTTCGTTTCTACGCAACAGTAAGAGAACTAGACGAGGGTAACGACGCACGATAATGCATTTCGATAGAAAAGTGATCTCCACACTTAAGCATACCATCTTGCATCTCAGATTGACTATGCGATGCAGCAACCTGACTGTTTCGGCAGGAATTCGTCATATCAAATTTAAAGCTGTTAGTTTCCTTCAACCATTTGAAAAGCACGCAACGAAGACGAAGGCTGGTTGATGCATGCATTGTTTCAGTACAACTTTCCCGTGCTAACAATAGATTAGCAGTGCACGACCGGTTCAAGCGGAAGTCATGTTGCACTACTTGATGTAGCCAGCTTCCTCAAAGCAAGACTTGTGCATCAACGAATATAACCCTCATTAAATCTGAAAGGACTGGAAAAAAGTTGCTTGACGGAAGTTAGTTAGGTAAGAGTGATGAACAGCTTTTGTAAGTGGGTTATTATCCCTTCTTCCCATGCTGTATGATCATATCACTTATCACGACAGCCTTTTACTAACAGACCCAATGGTTCATCTGCTTCCTTAGCTGCTACAGAGCGTCTTCGCGCAACCATTTGTAACACCGGGAGAGCTATGTGAGTGCAAAGTCTGCCGTAAAGTGGCTCTGAATAAGTCTTGTTGGTAGCGCAGTACATTTTTAATATTGTACTGTAGCGCCGAGTCGAATTTTAAATTAAACCAACGTGGGAGCGGAGATGATAGAATGCGAAGAACTTACAACTGCTGGGATTCGCGGCTGGCGAAAATGTTCCAACGGCATTACAACCAGCTATAATGTGTGGCCAACTTCCTATGATGGCATCTACATGAGTAGGCTAGTGAGGGTTAACCGGTTGCTCCATAGATTAACCCTTTTTGGTAGATGATGATAAATGTTGTTTTGGCGAGCACATTATCTGTCTGGTGAAAAACTGAAGTTGTGTAATGCATCACTAGGCAAACGAAGCCGTACCTCTGGGAGGATTATGCAACCAATGAGAATACAGATTTATTTGTCGTAAATTTCACAGTATATCCCACGAAAATGTTTAAAATTGCGCACAACTGTCCAAATTCGCCCACTTGAGATAGTTACAAAGTCGTTTTTCTATATCATGCTATTCATGATATTCAAGCACAATCCATCAGGATATGCTGATGGATCTCGTTAAGTCTAGAGGACTTGTTACCTTGATGCAATTTGCCGGTTACAATACACGGCATCAAAACCTGCGACGGATGATGATGGACTTCAGAAAACGATGATCTTTATGCTCATCTAGCTGTAATTTATTATTTTACCCAGCAATTCTTGCAGTGTTCCTCCATTGAATGGTCTCACAGTGATCGTATGGAATGGCCAGCCAACATTCTTTCAATTCCGTCCACTATGTGTTATCTCCTCTTGGTCATCCCAATCGTCCTTATCTGACTTGCTGTGGAATTTTCCTGCTCCGCCTGTGATCCACCTCCTATAATATATACATATACCCGATCATGCCGTTATAGGCCTGCCTCGCATCGTCGAGAAGAAAAGTTATTTATTTATTTATTTTTGCTCCAAAGAGTTATCGAAAAGAGGTTGAGTGCGTTCTGGTGATTCGTTCCTCCAATCTTTCTACAAATTCTTATCTAGTACCTGTGGCCCAAACACACAAGAACTTGGCTAGGCCGATGAATTCCAAGATCGTTCTTTGGTGACGTATCCTGTTCGTAGAAATTCATCCAAGCATCTGCTTATTATTGCAGTTGTATTACAGTTGGTTTTGAAAAGCGAGTTCCCCCAAGACTTAGTGCTAAAAAGCAAAATATTTTGACCTATAACCTTTGGGCAGATTAAGCTTACCTTCTGTAGGATGTCCTGACACCTGACGGCTAACCACTGTCCTCTGCACGGGCACTAGCCTGCATGGCAGTGGAGGATTAGTCGGGCCATGTCGCAGTTAGATTCCAATCCATGATTATCGACTATCGTCCCCATGGCTTATTGACATAAGCTGCTAGCTAGTGGTGCAAGCCCTTAACGCCCACAGGTTCGACACACTGAAGGGGACTGAGGGAATACAAACCATTGACAAGCCTCAATCGAGTAAAACGATCGTCTGCTGCTTTTCTGGTTCGGTTGTTAACCTTTGTGGCTCTAAATTTAATTGCTATGAACCAACTAATTGTTGCCAAATCCGTTTACTCACAAACAAAGTAAACGAGGATTTTCGTCCGTAGTACCTACACACGAAACTCAATGCAATCGATTAGTGGCTGGTCAATGTCTAAACGATCATGATTTTCCTTCTTCCAGTACATTTTAACTGTGGGACTGCATGTTTCTAGGACACCACGAGTTTGACTTAAATCTTCTAGTGGCACTCTGTAGACATCTCGCGGTTCGTTTTATGTGATGCCTATCGCGTGTCATCCGTGATGGCTCAGCTATCAAACGTTTTAATTGCAGACAAGACCGCGCAATCAGTACACCAGCCATTAGCCACACATGCCAGAGCAAAACGAGTTGTGGCTTGCACTCTTTCGTGCCACGTTGTTATGGTCTAGTGGAGTCATCGAGCATAACGCGATCCAAGTCTCCAAGTTACACTGGGGTGTTTCATTCATCCGAAAGTGCCTCATTCCCTCAACGACCGGAGAGCCGTCAGTCAGAAGAGGATACTGGTGGTGCAACTCTTCCTTTGTGTTCATCAGCAGTTCAAGGTAATCAAACATTCTTTTTAGACCTCAGCAGTATGACAAAGGCCTTTTTGCCATGTGGGTTCAGTTATTTGAATATTTCGATGTTTACTTTTGCTACTTTTTATTTGGTATCCACCAAACTTGAAAGGCAGAATTATCCCGTTGCCTGCCCTCTAATATGCCCTCGGAGTTGAATTTCTTTGTGAGTTATATCTGGTGTTATTACTCTTCGACTATTCCCATTCTCGCCATGGGGCATTAAAATGAATATGCCCTTATAACTTTGCAATGTGCTTTATAATTAAATATTCTTCTGTTTCTTGTTTCACAGTAAGGAAGGGAATAGCTGGGTGTCTGTATTATCTATTACTTTTTTCCTGTTTAAAAGCTTGTTGCGAATGTCTATCTTAGCTATTCTATACATATATACATCACTGGAACCACTAGGCTCAAATAATTCTCATCACGAAGAAGCTTTCTTACTGCTATTCGGTAGTGTAAAAGATAACAGAGCGTTTTTTACTTTTACAAGCTTTAACTGGCAAGCAATAAAGTAGAACTATTATTATTATTCTTTCTTAGGAATTCCCGAGGTTGCCTTCGCTGAATAAATCGTGCCAGACAGTTTCAAGCAATAGTGCGCAGCCAAATATTCATGACCTGTGCTGTACATTCATCCATTTTCACTTGGGAACTTATCAGCTTTCTGCTGCCATTTTATCTATGCAGTGAATGCCGTCCAAAATAAGGATGAACAAGTTACTGACCATAACCCCACTCCGTCATCTTTTTCGCCTCATTCCAACGGAAGTCCAAGACCTGTTTCTCCGTCAAGCAATATCACTGCAATCGTGGCAGAGAATAGCGCTCCAGAGGGAGAGAAACAGGAGCAGTTTTGGATTTCAGACGAAGCTCGGGCTCAAACGGATCGGTATCCGTTGCCACTGAGTGTCATCGACCATTCAGTATCGGTGGGTTTGACAGAAACCTTTGTTGTACAACCAGGTGGCACTTCACTTCCGCGACTTCTACATTGATTTCAAGCTTTGGTATTGAGGTTTATTTTCATATTGTGATAGCAGTATCAGGTAGTATTTATTTTTGCTGTTGCAGTTCACACAATTGATCTGTTGTGTGCAAGGACACATGGCTGACCATGCTTTGTTCTACAGCAGCGTAGGGTTCTGGCACCATACTTACTTACTTTATTAGGAATACTTCTCATTTTTTGCGAACATGTCACACAAACAGCCCCTTTGCCGCTAAAGCGGAATGCTAAATAATGACCTAATTATTGCTGGTGTATTTGGTATCCCACAATATATATTACTAATTTCTGACCTTTCACGGTCCTCATTACATTCAACTCAGTGTACTTTGGATGAATCCATGACGATTTTATCACCACAACTTGTTGTACTACAAGAGCGCTCCGAAAGTGTTCTCAGTAATGAAGAATGCCGAATAGATACATCATCAACAGTTGACGGCCCACTAGACCGCTCATCTCCATCCCCAGTGACTGAAAAATTACTGAGAAACGTGAATCTCGTGGACTGTATTTCACTGACTTCTACGGATGAGGAGGTGCAACTACACCAGCAATTTAAAATATCGCAGGCCGATTCTGAGACCTTACTGGTAACCCACGCGTACGAAAGCCACGCTGATCTAATCGCATCTGATAACGGAGAGGTCGCAAACTCTAAGTAAGTGTATCGATGTTTTTGCGAACACTCGAACGAGCCGACGGATTTTAGCAACCACCGCCTGAATCGTCCATTAATATGCCATATTTGTTCACGGTTTTTTTCAAAACTAACCTTCAGCTTTGTTTAATTTACGTTATCCTTCTCAAAACTTATAGATTGCGGTTTACGCTGCCGCATAATCTTAGTTACATCATTTGAATTCCATATACTCAATTTCTTCAACCATATTCCTTAGAGATTTTATTTTTGACTCTAATGTCCAGTTGACAACAACTTTGAATATTCACACATCTGCTCGTTTTTTATTATTAGCTTGGTAGTTAGCGACTTTAATACGAACCAGTACAGATATCTTTACAATTTCGAATTATCCTGAATTTTATCGCTGAATGCAACAGGTGCCTGTGCTACTTAACTATGTATTAACTTAACCGAGAGTCAACTTAACCAGGTGATTGAATTGTTTACGTTCATACAATATCGCACCAAGCGCTTTCAATCCTATCCGCTCCCGAAACACCAGCCTGGGAATTAGCAACGTGGTACTACTTAGGCACTGTTAATCCGGCCGACTTGAGTTCACTTACACTTTCTTACATTTTTATATTTCCTGTTGAATAGCTTTTAACTTATTGCGCAACACATAGTATACTCTCTTCCCCTTCCACAAGTGCAATCCGCTAACTTTGGTTATTTTTCTGTAAAGTCAGCCTAAACCATGTAACAATATTCTTCGATAAAGGCAACCATTTTTTAACCATATAGCGTCGAAGGTACTTTGCGGTTTTCGACAATATTCTCCCTTCCGAATTGAGCCAGCTTCACTAACCTCAAGCAACACATTTGCTCCGAACACTTCCTGGAATCTCAAATATTTCCATGTGATCTATAGCTGGATTTTTATTCATGTTGTTTATGGGGCGCGATGCAGGCAATATTATTTCTAACCTTAGTGCACTCCACAATTATGTAGAAAGAATGGTCTAAAAAGTGAAAACTAGGGCACGTTTGTGTGGTGGCACTAGATAAGTTGGGCAGGGAAACAGGCTTAAGCATATGCTCTCAGAAGCATGAACTTGATGAGTAGCACTCTGTAACTTTGCATATAATCCTCACCATCTACTTAGCCGACAGACACTAGGATCTTTCTTCTTTCTCCAAAACTGAAACCTGCAGCTGTTTTTTCCATTTCCGCTGACAATCCTAACCTGTATACAGCTGCCGTGCATTTATGCCAAATCTGCTCGAGGATATGGAGCCAACATGGAACTGCCTTAAATGATTGACCTGGCTTTCTCCCCTGGGAAATCCGCGAAGTTTGGTGACTTGCTATCTAAGGAACTGAACTAATCCGCTGATTACCATCCGGCGCCTAATAACTCCAGCTTTTGCTCTGTGTGTGTATGCGTGTGCGCATAGGAATCACACTGTTGACGCCTTACTGGATTCTCGCTTTACAATTTAAGGAAATGAATTGAACTTGTTCAAAGTTTCAATATCCCGGAATATGCTTGGAACCGACTGGGATCTCATGATTTCAATAGATTTTGCATACAAATCGGTTTTTGTAGGGTTTTATTATTGCAACGTTTCGCCCTTGACGCAAGAGCTTCTTCAGGCCAGGTGAATCGATACACAATTAGCTTAGCTTTTTATGGGAAAGTAAGGTGAAGATTGTAAGAAATAAAATGAACGATGGATAATAGTGTTACAGGTCAATAGGTCAAGTGACCATTCTAGTGAAACAACAAGCATCGAGCGTTTCTCATTGAGCCACGTCACCGGTCGTTCACATATGAGGCACTACTTGCTTGCAGCTGCTGATTCACTCTCCGACCTGAGCTCGTCCGCCTACACCTTTTCTGACTGACCGCGTTAACACACCCCGCCAGGCGTTCGATAACTCCACCCCCGTCCGTTCTGCTCACACAGTTATTAGCCTTAGTCATCTCTATCGTCTCAACATTCAACCTTTGGCTTATTGCTGCTAATCCCCTCTTAAGTATTTCGGCATTGTCCCAATCAATCTCGTGTCCTGCGTCTAGCGCATGTACTGCAATTGCTGAATCTTTCATGCGCCATTTGATTCGGTATTGAACTTACGGGTGTAAGCGTACGTAAATGCCGCAGTAGTAGTCGTCCCAAATATGTTGAAGGATGGAGCATCGGTTTAAGCAACTATTCTATCGCGTGTTGTTCATTTGTCTAACTTAATTTTATTTCTCCTGCTCTGATTAATTTCGATGCAATTAGAATGTCAACTTTATCTGATCACCTCATCGGAACTTACCCCAGTGTGATAAAAGTAACCTAGATCCAGTACTTTAGTAGCAGTATTCAAGGCCCTTCCCAAATAACTGCATGTTGATTGAGTGATAGCAGACTACATTTCAATAACCGATCGATTTTTGTTTCTTGTATAGCGTGATGGACCTAGAATTTCAGAGTTGTCTTGCGGCTGATTCAGATGCAAATATAAGCCAACCGCCATCGGATCTCAGTGAAACACAACCGTCTGCCATCAGTGCACGGAGTCAATCCCCAGATCAACCGATGGTAATGTCACTCACTGATTTCAATTCCTAATCATGGCTGGTTTCAGTTGGAAATTATATAGTGTTGTTTACCCAGTTTTGTGTGCATTTTTCTCTTTATTCCTTGCGAGTTTAATCAAAACATTGGTTCGTTGAGATTTTCCTTAATTTTACCTAAAGCAGGGTTGATGTCATATTGAGCATTACTTACTATTTGTGACCTGATGCATGATATTGACTTGGATTGAGCTACTGTCAGCGTATCAGTAATCATTAAATATATATGATTGCACATGGATAGCTCAGTAGCATATACTACTTTTTCTTGACCATCCAAGTGACTACAACTCGCATTTAGACCTGCAATCTAATTGTGCTTTTGCATTGAACCTTAGCACAAGAATTGAGACTGATAAGCCATAACATGCAGAATGACTAGTTCAGCACTAAATCTAATTTAACTGATATTCCAAACAGGGTTAGATGACGGTTCCACTCTTATGTGACCTGTCCAAAGACAGCGAGTGATGAAATTCCTTTGAACATCGAATATCATGTTAGACTAGCATAAATGCATAGCAAGACCGCCCGTTTGCAATCAGTCATGGACCCAAAATGATAGGTCAACATTGAAATGGTCAATTGGCACTTGAATTCTCTTTCACAGTAGCATAACATATACTGTAGTCGAGCAACGCCGCACTGAGGCACAGCTTTTTGCATTGACATGTTGTCTGCTGTCATCCCCTTGTGAAACGGTGAATTCAAACTCCTCTGTCCCCAGTACGATGGCTATCAATGGGGTTTTGACAGGCTGTGGGTCACCTGCGCACACTCGTCGCGTATGGACTTGCTAACACCAGGTCTCCTGCTGCCTGTTTCCCGTATCAGACGAAATAATCTATCATGATTGCCAACGGTAGTGGCTGCTTCCATCTCAGAGGCACGATGAGACCACCAGGTTTCGCGGTCCTTCTTCAGGCTAGCACGTAGTATTGCCCTGAGATTTTTGCGAGTCTCATTGTATTCCCTTCCAGCCGGAATACGTCGACGAGCATCCATAAGTTTCAATGACTGTGTGGAGACCCAATGTCCGGTTTGGCAGTTTGCTTTGCTACATGAACACATGCCTGCTAACAGTAACGTTTTACGAATATTCGACCAGTGATCTTCAACGGTGTTTAGTGGGCACTTACTCAGCCCAAATGTCAGCGCACTTTGGTACACATTCAGAACACCTGGCTCCGCCAGCTGGCTGGTGTCAATCCGTTCACATCGACGTTGCAGACGTCCACCGAAACACGCCCGGAGGTCGGCGCAGACAAGTGCGTGGTCAGAGTCCACGCTCGTGCTCCAAATCGAGCAACAGTTTTGGACACAGCCTCTCCAGCGGTAACTGGTCGCGATATGATCGAGTTGCGTCCATGGCTGGCCCGAGGCTGGTGGCCGCCAAGTCACGCTTCTGCGGGTGCTGTGTCGAAAATTGTGCTCGCGAGAAAGAGGCGCGCATCTTTACACAGCTGTAGCAATCGCTCACCATTATCATTACGGGAGCCTACACCATGTTGGCCGCCCAGATGAAGCTCATCAGAGGACAATTTTCCGACTTGGGCGTTTAGATCGCCAGCCAACACCACAGTATCCGTGCTTCTTCTGTAACGAAGGAGCTGAAGTTGCTGATAGAAATCATCTTTTACCGAATCAATGCTACAGTTTGTAGGGGCGTAGGCCGCAATGACAAACAGGTACCGTTTGTCCCCGCGCGACTTCGTAGCACGGAAGGGACCAGCTAATCTAATGGGACACATCCTACTGCTTGCTGGGGTCCAATCGATCAGGGCAGCTTCACCCCGAGGACTCAAAACAATGCCGACGCCAGCTTGACCGGCATTTGAAGCTGCATCATCGCCAGGCAGGCTCAATGAGATTGTGCCGCAAGTGTCGCATGTGGGGGATCGCAGGGTAACCACGGAGCTCGAGTCTTGCAGGCAGATTTCTGCTAAACAGCAAATATCGATCGGTAGGGTCTCTAGTGTGCGAGCAAGTGCTGCCTGTCGGCCAATCTGGAGCAAAGTGCGCACATTGAGGCATGTCAGTCTTAGCGAGACGCGAGGACTCTAACGGGGAACGGATGAATTGACGTTGTCCGCTAGGTTGAGCATGGGCTTGTCGACTGGATTGGAGCGACGCCCTGCGACTGTGTGTGATTTGAAACTAGAAGACAAGGGACTATTGATGCAAGTTGGGGGAAAGCCAAGAATTGGGGGGTTGAAAACAGGAGGATAAAAGTGGAGTTGGAGCGGGACGATATGGACGAAGAAGCACAAGAAGGGGTATAAGAAGATGGGAAGACCTGAGCAGTAGCACCCATACCCCTATCCACCCTGCTGGATGCAACAGATAGGGCACCGTTTATTACCCTATGCGACGGCCAGAGCAACAAGAAATTGTTTGATGAAGGGTTCATTGTATTGCGTGGGCAGAAAACTGTCAGGCTGCCCAGGTCTAGACAGGAGAACGATTAGGGTTCTCAACAAAAGCCTTTGGTTCAAAAACCTGATCGCAAGGCAGCGGGTTTTGGCACTGGACTACAGAGAGCTCGTTTTATGAAATAAAGAGCCACCCTCATTTCAACCCCCAACCTGGAGGACAAGGAAGCGGAGTTTGTCTGACCTCTAACCATTGACCAGTCTGGTGTGAGTGGCTCTGAACGTGCAAAAAATGCACCACCCATCATAATAATAATGACAATGCTAATAATAATAGTGATAATAATAAATAATATGTCAGCTGTACGCCGTAACGGCGCTTCACTGCCGCGCGACCACCACCAGTCGCGCGCGCGCTGAGTATAGCGCGAGGACGCCCACCCCTACGCGGATTCGAATCGGTGACCTTATGGTTACAAACCAAACGCGCAGACCACTCGGCCACCGGCCGACACCACTTAGCATTACTCAATGGATCTCTGATGCACGCAAACCATCGCACCACGGTATGGTCCAGCCTCATTGCTATGGTCACGCAGTTTCTACTAGCTACACATTAATTTTACCGGCATCGGTTGGGTTACAAATTTTAATATCCTTAGGCTACTGTTGTTGTAAGGAGGCTACACACGTAGCGCGGAAATCGACTAAAGTATACTGTCACTAACAGATTGTTTCATCGATTTACCACCATTCTTCCAAGCCAAGGACATAAGCTACCTCATTGATAGCCTCCAGTAGCTCTAGCACACCATATGGGAAAGTGATTCTTATGCTACTGCATGTATGGCATTCGTTTGATTATCTTTGTCTAACTTGCGCTCGCTTCATAAAACGTTCGGAAAACGGCGTATCTCACCGTGTCCACTCCGGAGGCGGGGTACATTCAAAGGCACTGCCGCGATACTATCTGTGGACCTCGGTGTTGCGCGCAAAGTTCGAGACTCACAGTATTACCTGGAGTTTGGTTATCTGGTGATGCGCATTACGTTAATCGACCTGGCCGGAACACAGGTTTGATTGCAAACGCAATTCCAGTGATTTATCTCATCTTACTGTTGACCAGTTAGGGAGTTTGTATTGAACTCAGGAACGTTGGTACAGGTAAGTGTTAGGGCTGTGTAGTTCATCTTGGCCTTTGCTGATATCCGTGGCGCGGTGATGAGTGGCTTCGGTGGCGTCTCTTCAGTTTGCACCTGGTCCTTGCTACATGTTGTGGCTATACTGTCTGAAGTCAGTTGAGTCGCAATTAGAATACATACAGCAACAAGTGCTGCGTAATTTGGTTACTCGGAAATGTAGGTATTTCCGATTTCAGTCGATAACATGGGCAGTATGGTACTGACTGGGGAACCGAGCATGCTTGAATCATTCGCGATGACGGTACAATTCACTGTCCCACAGGTTTCCGGTATGGTTATATGGTTGAAAAGTCTAGCTCCTTCCTTTGTTTTCGAAGTAGTGACTACAGAAGATAGACGACGTTGAAGTCCTGCTACCGTCGCACCTATCGAAGCGATTTTTTTATTCCAAAAGATATCCAGTTTTAGCGATTAAACAATCGGGCTTTTGTGATTATTATAGTAAAAAATTTACTATGGGAACGATCGTACTTTTAGCATAGAATCAGAGGGAGGCCGGTAGCTTAGTATACATCTTTACTTCGGTTAGTGACACTGGCTCAATTCGTTAAGCATAAATGATAACGTGGAAAGGTGCCCTAACTACATTAAATACCTTTGCACATACTTTTACTCCGAAGAAATCATTCTTTCGGGCCACAGTTGTTATGGCCGTTGTCCTCGGATAGCCGCTGGCTGGTTTGCCGGTTGAGTGTGCCTCGCTGTTGAGTACCGCCGAACGGCCGCTTGTCAGTTCGGGATCAAACATTGGCTCTTCCCTTCTTGCTTGTTGCGTATGTCCGTCAGAAGATCACAGATTGGACAGCTGTTGTAGGTCATTGCCGTGCAAGGCACTTCGATCGATCCTACAGACTAAAATGGCGAGCAGCGAACGTTTATAATGCTTTTTTGTAAATGGTTCGCAATAAAATATCTTGGTTTACCCGGTATTTGCTACAAACGGTGAGGAGATGGTACGCGTGTGGTCTTATTGGAATGCTGAGAGATTCCTGTGTTAAATGAGGCCAAATTACTGGGTGCTTGATTTTAACAACGCAGAATCGTGCACGTAACCAAAAGTGAAGATTGTACAGGTTTGTAAAGCGCATTGGAAATGGGGTGTGCCGAAATTATTCCAGGGAGAATGCTTTCAGTAATTGGAACCCGTCAAATTAAGACAAAAATGTGTAAATCTGGTGACATGGACGAAATGTTATAGAGTAAATCCAAATAATGATAAAACAAATTGATGCGACAGTCAGGCGATTGGAGCAGTCAAGCCTTATTAGGCAGGTGGAATAAATATTTCTAAAGCAATCGAAAATTGATGGAAAGCAATCTGCTACGACTACGGATCTTGTAAATTTTTTTGTTAACTTCTTTTTGTCATGAATTTCTTTCGGTATATCTGTATACATTTACTGCTCACTTGCAGGCATTATTGGTCTTTTAACCCTACAGGGAACTAAAACGTCTTACCATATACATATTTTAAATCCGCAAGGGTGATCCAACATAGACAACATGCTCAACATCTCTGTTAAACGTCTGCTGGTAGCGAAATGCTTCTATCTTACTGTAAGATCAAACCCTAAAATGGTTTGTGTCTCAGTGGCTGAACAGAAATTTTTGTGATTATTAATCCCCATTGCAATATATGCAAGAATTAACCAGGAGGTTCCAGTCAAAAATCCTTTAGAACAAAGCTTTTAGTGAAGATGAAAGCAAACGCATTGCGTCTACATTTTGTCACTGCCATTCTTCTTGTATCGGCATACACCAGTGAAAAAAAACACCAGTGAAAAAAAGTGAAATCTGCACGCTGTTCTTGTAGAATTTTTATGCAAGTTTCCCTCCAACTTCTGTTTACTAGTCTTCACTTTCGTTTAACTGACTCGTAATGACAGAAGGATAGATATTTTGCATTCGTCTTACTTCCTTGTGGTAGGTTATCAAGTACGCAAAAAAGTAATGACAAAGTAAAAACTTCTGCACAATCATGAAAGCACATACATCGCTTGTTAAATTTTTTGTAACGCACCACAACAAAGTTCGATAACGTAATATGTCTTTTCTGAACAGCCTGAAAACATAAGAAATTCATGACAGTTATGGTGGGGTATATTGCTTCCAGCTTCGCAAACTTGTGACGAAAACAACCATCTAGAGGACTCTAACGAATTCGCGTTGCTTTGACCTAGGAGTACTTTTGAAAACTAGCGCGAATACAGTTACTACCTGGATCGTAGGTCAACATGATCTTCACACTAAACGCCACCAACTCACACCATTCCCATTTTCCCCCTCAGGAGGTGACAGCGTCCGACGAAGGAGGGGTTTGTGACGTAATTTCAGGTTCCATATCTGTAACTAACCAACCTACTTCAACCGCAAGCAAGAATTCTAACAATCAGCTCTCAATGAGTGAAGCACTACCATGTTCAGATGACATTGCGTCAAACGAAGAAGCGCCAGAAAGTCTAGCGGACATTACGTCATTCGGAGCGATTTCTATGTTGACTGGAATCTCTTGCTATGACGATGATCGTGACGATCCAGTATGTTCCTGCGGCGGAGAATCCCCACCACTCATGGATCTGGAATACGGTTTGCGTTGTTCGCTGCCAGCAGTGAAACTGCATCCACGTCTCAAACAACTAGGTCGTGGTTACTGGGGTGCATCTGAAACATCTTCCGAGAGTATGGAATCGACAAAATTCCATTCCAAAGTAAAGCTATTGTCTCGGGCAAAGTCAGATTCCTTTGTACACCAGACAAACGGAAAGAAAAGACAGTCATTGAACCAAAAACATCTGATACGAATCGCTCAAAGGAACCAAACCAGCGCTTATCCCCCAGAAGTGTCACCTACTTCAGCTCCACTGAAGTCTGGGGGGACCTTACGCAGTCAACATCCCCATCCACCCGTAAGTATTTATGATTGTTACTTATTCTGCCAGAACTACAATTTCAGTGGCAATGTAACTTTTACAATCAGTGCTCACTGGCTCAACTAAATTTATACACATTGGTTTCTAACCACCACATGTGTTTTGCTTCCAGCCACCTATAGATGAAGTATCCGTTTTTCGACAGATGAAAATGTTCCTTCAATCAGAGCGCCTATATCAACAACAGTTACTTCAACTTCAGTCGGTAAGTTAACATAAGACAGGATATTTTGTTCAGTAAGTGTTATTCTACTCGAGAATTAGTCAACTAATGCGTTATACCATTGAATATCATTTTGTTGAAGGTGACTGAACTTCATGTGGATCAAATTGCGCATGATTGCTATGTGCATAGTATCCATTTAACAGCAAATCTTTAGTGAGCATCAAGATAATCACACAAGATATATTACATCGCAATAACTCGCCGGTCGCTCCCCAGTGCAACGAATCGCAGCTTTAAACCATCAGCTAACCAGTAGATAAAAACAGCCACCCTGTCCCACTAAATCCAAAATCATTCTACTTGGCGCCAGGTCCTAGTTGTGTGCCCTTGCTCTAAGGGGCGGAAATGCACTGTTGGTTGAATCCGCAGTTCATTGCTCGTAGACTAAACTACTGCTAAGTGCACTCACAATTACACGGGAGCAGTAGCGGAATTTGGATCGCTTGTGTATATGGGTTCATCACATCTAGACTAAGTCAGCCATCACACGGCCGGGCTACCTCATCTTCTGCACGGTAGTAACGTGCAAGTCGGCGGCTCATTAGCGTCGCTATATAATACATCTTCCTACTTAGTCGTAACACTTGTTACTTTCTTCTTTGGCCTGGTTTTTCTAACCACAAACTGATAACCGTTGCGTTGCGCGTTCTAGGATGAAATGTGCACTTCTAATGATTTCCGAAGGATGCAACGGCCGTACAGTGTTTTCCCGGACGTGTGATTTCTATTTGACTGAGTCTAGGTGCGCTAACCTATTGCTTATACACTCAAACTTCTTCATCCACCAATCCTCTAGTTTGTGAATAGCATACTACACCCAGCAATCGCACTGCAATATCTGTAAAATTCCGGGAATAAAATGCTTCAAGAATGCTATCTCAGAAAAGGTGAACGTAATCATACTGGTATTAGATAAAATTGAGCTATTTAGTGACAAAGTTTCTCTCCACAGAAATCATGTGTGATCTAAGTAACATCGCTATTGCCAAACTCTCAGTTATTGTATTATCTCGCACTAATGTTACGTAGAGCAATCCCCGACTTATTTCCTCCCTTTCACCACTGCGATTGTGTCATTGTCACATCAACCACTAAGAAGTGGAGTATATGACTTCCTCATCGCAACAGTAAGTGATAAATAGCTCACATTGGAATCACAACTTAATGACATGCGAAAAACGCCGGCACTCTTTGAACCCATCGAAGATCACCTGATTAGGCTTGACTACATCAATAGATCATTGGCGAAGACTGATCTCGTTCTGATGGGAAAAGCAAGGCAGTTAATTGCCTCTCTTGCCTCTGAAGTTCACGGACGAATGTGTGGAGCAAAAAATATGCTTGCTTTTAAATGTTCCGGACAGGTTGGATCTGCATAAATTAAAACTAAAGACACTGAAAGCTTGTAACATGTCTGACTTTGACTTAAAATGCCAACGTTTAAAAAACAAGACACCGAAACATTCTTATACGATCATTTACAAATTTTTGAGCGAGGAAGTCGCGTAGAGGTTGCTTCATTGAGGACCCATCCTAGGCCAGTGCACCCATTTTAATGGCATTTTGAGTAAATCAGATAGGACACTCTTACAAAAGTCCGAAATTGGCACTGTGCCGCGAAAACCGGAAAAAATAACTAGGCTCTTCGAGAAATCTCAGCCAAACATTCAAAACACGAGTGCATCCAAGGTGGATACTTGATGCATTGATTAGAACCTCGATAATTTAAAAACGTTGTCAACTAGCTCCACAACCATTCCTTCCTTGCTCCACTGAAACACTCTCTATACAAGGAACGGATAAAGCGGCTTCTCCTATTCCCGACAATATCACTCCCATTATATTGAAATCCTCATGCATAAGGATTAAAGGAAAGTTTAACTGCTTGGAACAAAGGAGTAATGACAACTCGTTGAATATATCACAATCCGGTCCAAACCAACAAGACACGTCCAAGGATAGACAACCTGATGTAATTCATATTTTACTGTCGCCAAGAACGACTTCTCCAATCCAGGGATCTGTGTCTTTAAAAACTTTTAGACACTAAATACTCGGTGGCACCCAAAGTTCCCTATCGACCAACCTCCTGCAAACACCAGGACAAACAATCTTCCATAGTGAATAAGACCAATAACAACAGTCTCTTGGCTGCGCCTAATTATCATCCTACACTCCACAACAATCGCTGGAAGTGCACAAATTATTGAAGTACATCGGCCAGTAGGACTATGTTACCACCTGCTCCTTTCCACGTTCCTTCAATCTCTCAAGCGGCTTCTTCCAACAACCACTTTTTAGCGGTGACGGAAATGGACTCGCACCCATTCCCATCTCAGATACATCCGGCGCAGCTCAACATCTTGATCCCACTTTTCCTCCAATTTGTCAAGCGGAAAAGGCTAGTCTATTGCCAAACCAACGGCAAACTAATCATGATGCCGCGGTTCCAGTCGTGCCCCCGACTGTCTCAATATCCACATATGACATGCTACCCTTATCAACAAACGTTCTAATGGCTAACTCGGGCCCACCATACTCGCACTTGCCTACCATGTGCACCATGCTCGAACGCAAAGATTCAGTTGACCACACAACAGACAGCGATAATTCCCCAATAGATGGTACATTTTCAGTGATTCTGATTAATGCCAGATTCATAATCAACAAACTTCATTTTATAAACACACTTGCACCGTACAATGATCCACAAGCGATCCTCGTCACTGGAACATGGCGTTTTTCAGATACGCTTGACTCTACTCTGATGATTCCAAACTACCACCTATTTCGAAAAGATCGCTGCTACGGAAAAGGTGGTGGGTGTATTATATACCTGCGCAAAACCTTTACATCTGAACCTATAGATCACTTACCATTGGAAAATATCCCTGAATCTATTTGGATGTCGGTTGCGGGTGTCTCAGCTTACCTACCGCTCGCATGTATCTACATTCCCACCGAATGTGTCTAACGTGAGTATCACCAACATCCCTTCTACATTTGACTTCGAATCAGAGTTGCCAAACAGCCAGAAGATTATTGCCGGCGATTTCAACCTACGGAAAATAGACTGGTCTTCCCACCCAACTTCTACCTTACATGCCTCTTTTCTTTCTTCCATCAAATCAGAGGGCTGGACACAATGGATAACCCGTCCAACCAGGTCCGCCAATGTACTGGACTTAATATTCACATTGGGTATGCCCAACCCACAGACCGAGATCTTTAACTATCTCCCTGGCAGCGACCATAAAATGATGCGACTCAGTTTCCAAATAAAAATGGTCATTAAACTCGCCTCTACACCACCAGTTGTAACCCATAAGCTAAACTGGGAATGCTTTCAGCAGTTCATTCGTTTCTCCAACTGGGATGTATGTTTCCTCTCTACCAGTGTGTACACCACTGTGGAGCAGCTCTATAAACAATTCCATCGCGCTATAGCCCTCCTTGCTTCACGATGTGTTCATACCCCTCATGTCTTCAAAGATTCCGTCGAGCACTTGTTCAGTAAGAAAACCAGAAAGTTAGCTGCAAGATACAGACCCATGACTTTGCGCTTATCTTACAAATGTACGAATTTACCACCAGAGTCAAAGATGCGCGATTAACACGAGGTAAAAATGAAGAACATACAACCCTACGGACAAGCTACAAAGCTAGGGAGCTTGTCAAAATACTACATCGTAAAACCAGTGACCGCTGTTTTCTGATTACCGAAATTGTTGATGGTGAGGGTCACTTACCCCATGATCCAGTTGAAAACTCTGAAGCATTCAGTGACTTTTTGCCACTACCATGAGTCGCGAAGCTGATCCTGTGTCTGTCTGCACAGAGCTTATAGTAACAAACCTTTTAAGCAGAGTCGATATCTCGCTCCACGGTATCCACCAAGTTATCAGATCAATCAGACCATCTTCCAAGCTGAAGTCTGATGTCATTTTACCAACCACCATCAAACTAGGATGGTGTGATATACCATTGCACCTGATGATCATGTTTATTCTATCGGTAGAATCTATCCATTTTCCAGACCAATGGGAAACGTCATTTATTATGCCTCGGCATAAAGGAGGTCCCAAACAAATGATTTATAACTATCGACCACCACACTGCGATGATCACTCGGCTATTTGAAAAACTGATCAAAAAGGAGATGCTGAACTTTGTTGATTCTATTAGCCTGATCAATAATTCGCATCAAGGTTTTCTTAATAAGCGATCGTGCACCACCTGTCAACTGCATTACCTTAACCACATTTCAGAATCAACCGATTCCAGCTATGCAGTAGTAATCCTGTTTCTTAACATACACTAAGCATTCGACCGAGTACCGCACAAGCGACTGTTACAAAAGTTGAAGAACTTTGGGATCCGGGACCCATTACTAGGTTGGCTATCCTCTTACCTGGGTGATCGTCATCAGTTAGTCACTTTAGGTGCTTATCGCTCTTCTTCACGCTCAAACACCAGGGGGGTCATTCAAGGGAGCGTGCTAGGTCCCTCACTCTATTTGCTCTACATCAATGATATCAACACATCTGTAAAACATGGTACGCCAGCTTCATTTGCTGACGATATCAAAATCGTCCATAAGCATCGGCGTGACGAGCTTCACGGGACGCTGCTTCTCATTCAAGATGACTTGAGTCGTTGCGCGGCAAATGGGTGATGAAACTCTCGGCTAAGCAATCAAGAATCATGTCATAGGGCTGTTGCATCCCCGAAGGATCTGTCACCCAAAACAACGAACGCGTCCCTACACAGCTGTCCACGCGAATTCTTGGGATTAGTTACTCATGTACCTTTAATTTCTCCGAACAGGCCCAATACAAATTAACAGGTGCCAGACAATCTATGTGTAATATATCAAACCAACTCCACACAACTCATGCTAGAGTTGAGCTTTTCAAGCTACTCACTCTCCCCATCCTCGATTAGTGCAGCATAATATACGGCAATATGAGAAAGAGTGACAGAATTATTGTGGAGCACCTGCAGCGGTCATTTACCAAACATCTAATTGGTAAACACGCTGCAATGAGTTATCGAGGATGTTGCAATGGACTCCATCTCAAACCGCCTTGGATTCAGCGACTGAAGCACAACTTGTTGTTGCTTTTCAACGTGCTACACAAAATGACCTATTCCGACCTGCCTACACTCAATTTATAACATTCCTCGACTCCAGCGCTTCACAACACAGGTTTTACACTGAATATAACGAAGGCTAGAACGAACGTCCGCTCTATTTCCTTCCTGGTCAGATATAGCGATCTTTGGAAGGAACTACCACTAACACTCAGATCATGTGATAATGCGGCAACCTTTAGAAGCAGACTCTCCTATTATCTTGATCTAACTACCATAATCTCTATATTCACATAGGAAAATGCTCTCGATGAGCTATTCCAAGAGGGGACCGAAATATCTAAACACCAAAGTTTTCATAACTAAGCTTTCGGCTCAACCATCCGCCAGAATTTTAATACATGCAACACATCCCATTGCTCCACCTATGTATGTCACCCATGCAGAACAACGGATACTACTGTACCAATGGATCAGTACCGCCATAGACAGTTTCTCTCATCAAGAGAAATATACTTATTAATATTTTTATAACTACTTATCCTACTTCAGGCGTACCTAGTCTTTCGAGTAACATATATAGTCCCACCACGACAAGGAAGGCTTAACAACAGCACACCACCTCCAGAAGACGTAGTCATTTCGGATTTGTGTGGTTCCAAGCAATTCGCTCCGGCACTATACTCCGTGACTTATTTCCTCCACGCTTAGACCGGTCAGAGTGAGGTAGATCGAGATGAAGGTTAACCTGCGAAGTTATTGCCTGGTCCTTAATTACTAAAGATTGGGCTTCTCAGCCATTATATTTCAGAGTCATCTTGATTACTAAAATATGCCATATACTTTTTTCACTTTAACTGAGCCTATTTTTCAACTCTATTTTGTCTTCAATTCCGCAGTATCCTTTGGAAATTTCGGAGGCCTACAACTGCAATATATTGACTACTTGGTTGAAAGCCAATTTGCTTCCATTACTGCAACCGCTTGTCGAGAGACACGGGGACTTTCTCAACTCGCTTGAGTCGAATTTATGCGCTTGGATGGCAGTCAGTCCAGACATTGATTTGGACCATTCGACTAATAAATGTCAACAAACTGCGACGGGTAACAACTGCTTTATGTTGGGATACTTTAATTTGTTCAGCATTTATCTGAATGTTCGCGATCCACGGACAATTTCCTAACACGTTGTATTTACCACTCCAACATTTGTAGTTACACGGATGTAACCTGTGCCACAATCTTTACAATAAGTCGTTTCGAACTCACATAGTATTGATTTCATTGACATTGTGTAAATATCGCACGGCTTAGTCAGTGTCTGTTTTCTATATACATTCATCCGATTCTGCGCTGATGATATCACCTCGATTGGTGACGAACCGCTTGCAACGAAATTGACAAGTTCAGCGAACAGTTTAACCGCCATTCTGCGCTTTGTAAAACCATCTCCAAGCATCACTTTACTGTTTTGCTAATGAGCTGCGATAGGAAAACGTTTGTTTGTCGGTCCTTTTGAGCCACATAGTATGTGCACATAAAAGCACGTTTACTGCATACCCATCACTCTGAAGTGATCGGGATGATAAACGGCTCCACTAAAGAGAACTAAGTATATGTATATCACTCAATTGACAAGTTTTAAAGCCTAACTTCTAACTCCTTCCCATTTCGAAGAGATCAGCTTTTATTCATCTACTGCGTATTGTTGTCGGATACCTCTTGTAAATTGCCGAAGTCACATCACTTTGGGAATCATAGAATTGAAGACTGGTAGCTCGGGTTGTTCAGATGGCGGCTGAACTGTTCGCTGAGCTTGGCAATTTTGCGAAAATTGGAGAGCATTGCACTGCCATCTGTCATCCCAAATCTCTGCTTACATTACGTAGACGACACAAATGTCATGGAAAACGAAACAGAACACAGGCCGTGAAGGATTTGTTCAAGAACACATTCGAGGATATCAACTTCACGTTTGAATTAGAGGATAACTAGTTACCCTTTTTAGAGGTATTGGTCGCCAAGAATACCGACGGATCTCTGCAAACGTGCGTATATCGGACGAAAATGCATACGGACCAGATATTAAACTACCACAGCAACCACCCAATGAATTACTAGAAGAGTTGCATTCCAATCCTGTTCAAAAGAGCGGAAACACACTGCAGCACACCCGAATTGTGGAAACAGGAAGAAAATCACCTATCTTGCGTGTTTAGAAACAACGCTATCCAAGAAATTTCATCAAAGTAGCTTAAACAATCGAATGTTTCAGCAACAACAGCAGCAGTCAGGGGAGCAAGCAACCAAACGAGTAGTGCTCCCCTACATCATGAACTTCTCCTAACTAATCGGACGATTGCTGCAGTCACATGGAATCTCTGTGGCTCACAAACCAAGTGCCACCTTAAGGAAGGTATTCACAAGACCCAAAGAAATTGTCTATTAAATCGACCAATGCAATGTCAGCTACCAGATAAAATGCAGCGACTGCGATAAAAACTAGGTCGGACGAACTGGCAGAAAGCTTGGTACAAGAATCGCCGAATGCAAGGCGACCGTCAGAGGACGTGATCCGCGCTCCCTGGTATCTGCGCACGAAGATCAATAAGGCCACCATTTCGAGCTGGAGAATGTAAAGATGCTGGCACATGGAAGTACAAAATACGCGAAGGAGTTTTTGGAAGCATGTTAGTCTACAACGAATTCAATCACTTGACACATCGAACTGGACGCGGTATACTCAACACTACCGGCGAGCAACCGCCAACTCGATCGATTGAATCCGGCGGAACGTAGGATTAGATAACCAGAGCTGACGACAGACTTGCTCACAAGAGAAAATAGACCAAGGTCACCGACCACTAGTCGGAGGGGTCAAATTCACAGGTCATCAGCCCATCAATGCAAGGTGAAGGCGGATCGAAGACCTGACCAACAGGATTGCTCGTCTTCACGGCCAACCACGAAGGCATAAAACTTACGCACACCACGCTCAGCATACTCTTATCGAAGCTCCGCTACGCTACTGTACGCCACGTAACTACACATTGCTGATGTCACCTCGATTGCCGACGAAACGCTTGCAACAAAATTGCCAAACTCAGCGAACTGTCCAACCGCCATTTTAGAATCATTTTATGAGTGTTGAACAACGAGATTGTAACACATACATAAGGAGATAGGAATTTACTTAGATTTTCCCTATTCCTTATACAGTATAAATCCGACTGAATGATTTGTCGTACAACCTGCTCTATTGTCGCCAGGTCACGCTTTGGCAGCACTGTCAGACGAGGATATGGTAGACGGAAAATCTGTACATTCCTTATTCGAATCCGGTTTGAAACTGTCAGATGCTGTTTCTGGAGACACATGCACTTATCTTTCACTGCACGCCAGCCAAAGTTGTTTTTCAGAGTCTGACAACACGGAGTTGTCTGGTACCCACCGAAGACAGTCACTGCCACATGGCGTTGGACAAACGTTCATGCAATACCTAGATATCCTAGAGGTATGTTAGCACAAGTTTCTCATCCTCAAATCGTCATTCTCTTTCAACAGCCAGTATAGAGGTCTTACTTTTCCAAAGCTCGAAGTTTTCCGTCTATTTGGCGATCATAAATAGTACATAACTTCACAAACGTATATCCTATAAATATCCTCAAACACTGTGGTTGACCAAAATTTCATATATAAATTTTGGCTCGACTTGGAACGGGTATTATTTGAAGTCATCTTTCAGCTGTATCTCTTAATCTAGATTGTCCGCCTGCTACCAACTAAGATAATAACTAAATTTAAACCACAACACTTACTATATTTTTAGCGCATCTTATCATTTTTGGGCTTATCTCCGATTTCATTTGACTGTTTGTTTATGTTTGGAATTTTTCTACACTCTGATTCAAGCTACACAAGGCATGGATGAGTCGGTGTCCCGAGCTGATATCCGAACTGTGGTTAATGGCTTACTTCGACTTCCTGCATCTGCAGCAGTATGCTCCAGAAGTACAGCTTCCTTTGTTCGAAGAACCCTCGAAGAAACGGTCTACATCCAACGAACCACTTGTTTGTCTATCAATGTCATCGATATCGGACGTTTATGAATCTATCGAGGAGGACCTTCAAGGTCCACGTTCGGTTCGGGATGTTTGGCAACGAGTAGAGTGCTCTGAACATTGGGTGAGACCGTTACTCACGTGCTTCCTACAGCCAGGAAGGCGATTGCGACAGTATTGTTTGCAAATCGGTGGACTATTGGCTCAGTACAATCCACAACATCCGGATATCTCTGCTTGCAAAAGTAGGTACTGTTAGATAACTGTCAGTTTTCAAGCTGGTCGACATCCTAAAGGAAAATACGGGCGATCACACATGCTTGTTTTTTTACTTTCTGATTTGGTTCGTAATCTGCTAAATTTGGCACTTGCTGTCATCCTCCTTGTGTGCAGTGTAATCGGTTCATCACCCAAAAGGCAGCGTAACTGTAGCAAAATTCCGTACGTTCCAATGACAGAAATAATTTACCACATGCGACATATCCAGTAATTAATCCCCAGTAGCTTTCCTCACATACAAACCTGACGATAAATTGTTGGCACCAGCTGCATGGGAGTGCAGATGCCCTTTTACCCTACACAAATCGTGGTAATATTTCATGCCAGTCAGGTTTACTCGATGAATGCGTTCCTGGGATATTACATTCAATTCACTGCAGTCCTTATCAAAGGTGAATGGAATCTGTAAAACAGAAGCTGCTTACCACTTTGTTGATCCGTTGGCTTCAAAATGCATCAGTATCACCTAAGCAATGGTTGCAATTGGTTAAATGCAATGAACAGATTTGGATGCAGATATCTCAATACAAAATGGTCGGCTAACAATCTCTGAGCGTATACCCTAATTGCAGCCTTGTTCTAGCACTTAACGATTATTCACCGTTTGCGTCGATAGATACCCGAGGAATGCAGTTGTTGTTTTGATTTCTGGTTGTTAATTATTCACCAAGCATGCATATCGAGCTAAGCGGCCTCTGAGACTGGCTGAGTTTTGCATAACTAGGTAAACCAAAAGGCCATCCCATGCCTAAGTCTAACCATATACCTAGACTAAACCGCTTCGATGCCATATGTTTAATCACTGGAAGCCAATCGTTCACCGAATCAAGGTTTACTAGTGATACATTAAAATTAATCTGCCTCCTCAGATAAAAGAAGCTGGATTAACCAGAAACAAACCGAAGTATCCATGCTGTCTGAAAAAACAAAAAATGAGAATAAAGGCTTCATCCCTTTGGAGGATTTGTTGCTGATTAAGTGATCGAAGGAATTTAAATCGATTGTTTCCTTATACTGCATGAGTCAAATAATATTATAACCGAATTGGTGATTCGGTGTTGCTCCTCCCAACCCTGAGACCCCATGACCGGTTTCGTCTTCCTTTAGACTCATCAGATGGAGATACCCTGAGCTGGGGTGGAACTCGAGGTATAGGTATACCTCGAGTTCCACCCCAGCTCAGGGTATCTCCATCTGATGAGTCTAAAGGAAGACGAAACCGGTCATGGGGTCTCAGGGTTGGGAGGAGCAACACCGAATCACCAATTCGGTTACGGTCCTTGTGATCGTAATGACCGAGGTCCACTTAGGACCGAGGTCTGAATAGAGATTGCGAGTCGCAATCCAACCACACAGCGAGTACACCAAATGCCACTTGGAATATTATAACCGCTAGGAAATAGTTTTCGTTAGCTGAAAACGAAGATCAAATGGCATTTCTCAGCATGTTCAGAGGTGCAAAACAATTAATTGTTAACTTACGATGTATATTGGCTTATTACACTAAAGTTGCTAGTTTAAACTTCTTAAACCTCTGATAGTAAGTCCGTCCAGCTATTAGAGAGGACTGAGAAAATCGATACTAAACTTTCGCAAGTGAATAACTGCTAGCGATCAGTTGGTAGAAATAAACAAAACTGCCAGAAAGCATTGTATGTTTTGATCTCCTTTCAACTTAAACACTGAAAGAGATATTTTCTTGATAACAATGTGCAGTTTTTAGCTGGATGTTCCCTAACGTCCTACCAGAATCATACTGAGACGTATTTACTGTCCGATGCAATTGGTTATTCTATCTTACGTGCCATAATTTCCATTAGCCATCGTTTACTCTTAGCCCATGTATCGTATCCGTTAGAAGATCTTGGGTTACACGTTGTATCTGAGATACGCTACTTCCTTTCTGGCTGTATTGCAGCTTTGTTTGATATTTATCTCTTTCGTTTTAAACACTGAAGTCATATCTAAAATAGAAACATATTGTCTTTGACGCTCTAGCCTTCTAGGACCGGTTTTGCCACCTTTGAACTCTAACTATGGGCAACTTGAAACTAAGCGGTGAAATTGACTGTTGCTGCATAACGCATTTGTCTCTAAACTGAACAGCTTCATGTACAGAGTTCCTGAAATTGTTTAAATTCACACACTCCACTGCTATTATCTGACCTTCTGATTGTGGAAAAATCCAGTAGTAGTTTGGTGATTAACGCTCATATGGCTTTTTCATGCGTAATCATCACTTTTCAAAAACGGTTACAATATAAAACAGCCTTGAACTTGGGCGATGCACCGCGGTCCTATCAAACCTTTCGTGGCGTGGCACGCAGCCTAGAGTGTTAGGCCAGACGAAAACAGAAAAACGGAGCTGTGGGATAAGATGGTTATTTGCGTAACAGTCAGTCTCAAAAATACCGCAGTGGGGCGTGCGAGGCACTCGAGATCACATGCACACCGAATCCAAAGTACCAAACAATAATTACGACAGACGGACGCACGCGTTTAGCGTCCAGCGAAGCACATCATTTGGCTTCACTGATCCATTCGCAAGGAGTTGCCCCTCTTAACACCTACCCGTTTGAACTCCACTGTCCCATGATTTCATCCTGGGGTTAACTTGGAGTGACGTGACAGGAACCCCGCAACGATCGGACCATCTTCTGGGTCGACAATCGGGCGAAGGAGAGTGTGATGGGGCTGACTGCTCGGGTTAACGGAATCGCCTGCCGCACTGTGGTCGATCAGGAGATCGATCGAGTGGGCAGTTGAGTTTTATAATCACAGTTAGTTGTGGTTTGCTTGAGACTTGTGAGTACAGCGCTTGTGTGCATAGCCGGTGTATTTTCTTTCTCTTGACGCGGCTGACAAAACCAGTCACAAAACGGGTGACAGTGGAGAAGCTGACGCTTCGAACTCAGCTCGCTTTTGGCGGACAGCCATCGATCCCGCTGCCGACTGCTCTACATATGACGGAAAACACGCTGCCTGACAACTGGAGAAGGTGAAGGCGAAGTGGACGGGTTTCTTCACGCTGACTCAGTTGGATTCCTATCCGATACCTTACCAACTGGGACTCTGAACAAGATAATGCCTTTAGGAAGTCCAAGGAATTAATTACAAAAGCGCCTGTCCAAGCCTGCTTTGATCCGTCGCTTCCACTCGAGATTCAGTGTAACAGTAGCCAATACGGCATTGAAGCTGTTCTTATGCAAAACTGCAAGCCTTTCGATTTTCGCAGTCGCACGCTCACGAAGGGGAGCGACATTACGCACAAATTGAAAAGGAAATGCTGGCGCTAGTTTAGGCCGTTAACCGTTTCAACGATTATATGTTCGGCCGCGAAACAACCACAAGCCACTTGTACCCATCACTCGTAAGCCACTCAATGTCGCTCCACGCCGCCTGCAAGCATGCTCATTCGTCTGCTGAAGTGACTTGGATATAGTCTACCGATCAGGATCCCAGATGCACATTGCGGACACGTTGTCAAGGGCGCATCTGTCAGACACACCGTAAATGGAAGAAGACCCGGATTTTGTCCACGCAACACAGCTGATCGCGGTCACTAGGGAAGGTTTGCAGCAGCTCCAACGGTGCACGGAGGAGGACGAACAGTGCAGGCTACTGAGGCAGACGATAATAGACGGATGGCCCGAAGACAAGAAAAACTGCCCAAAGTGTTAACTCCGTTCTTTCATTTTCGCGACGAACTCATCACCTAAGACGGCTTAATATTCAAGGGCAACAGGATAGTGGTTCCGAACGCTTTGGAACATTCAATGCTGCAGATGGTACACTATGCACATTTGGGAATCAACAATTGCGTGGCAAGAGCACGTGAGCTAATGTTCTGGACAGGAATGACTAGGCAACTACGTGATTACGTATCAAACTGTTTAATATGCAGGGCACACGCTGTGCGCCAGCCGAAGGAGCCAATGATGCTTCACGACGTTCCGGATAGGCCCTGGTATATGGTCGCATTGGACATTTTTGTTTACGACGCGAAGAGCTATTTCATTGTGGTGGACTATTTCAGTGACTAGTTCTAGATTCATGCCCTTACGACAACCTACGCGCAAGCCATAGTGAACAAGTTACGGTGTTAATCGCTCGACATGGAATCCCCGAGATGGTGATTTCCAACAACGGGCCGCAATCCAGTAGTGCAGAATTCGGCGCTTTTTGCAAGAAGTGGGATTTTCAGCATCGGCTCATCAGCCCTTACCACAGCCAACCAAATGAGAAGGCTGAGTCAGCGGTGAAGGAGGCGAAGAAAGTACTTACCAAAGCCAAGGAGACTCACGAGTATCCCTACGTAGTGCTTTTGGAGCGAAGAAACACGCCGTCTATGGAGATCGGAGTAAGTCCGTTACAGCGACTATCCAGTCGCAGAACTAGAACGCTGCTACCGTCCGCTACAATGCTGCTACAGCTCGAGATAGCACTGGATGCTTCTGTGCACAACCGACTGCGGAAGCGAATGTTAAAACAAAAGAAGTATCATGATCGTGGATCGAGATGCCTTCCACCCTCAGCTATTGGAGAAGAAGTATGGGTGCAACCAATACCAGATTCGGGAGAACGTTGGCGGAGGGGAGTGATTGAGGGTCGCAGGGGTGGAAGGAGCTACGAAGTCAGAATAGGGAGCAATATCATTAGACGGAGTCGGGTGCAAATTCGGAGAGCACGTAATGGACGGACTCCGCAAAGGGAGGATCGGCAGTAGCAACAAGAAAGGGTACCTGGAACCTCGTCCCCAGACAGCAAGCGTACGCGCAACGGAAAACTGTACGGAACTTATTGCAACAACATATTAAAAAAGCAAAAGATAAGGATGTGGTGGGGCTGACAGCTGGAGCTAATGGAATTGCCAGCTGCAGTGTGGTCGATCAGGCGGTCCATCGAGTTGGCAGGTGAGTTTGAAAATCCCAGTTAGTTGTAGTTTTCTTGGGAGTTGTGAATACAG